TTGTATTTCCTGAGAATGATGAGGTAATAAAACAGAAATAAAAGTACATTATGTACTATGTTATTTCTATTGTCTTATTTAAGTTCTTACTTTAAAATATGTTGCATGATAATCTGTTTCTAACGATTACAAAATATCTCACATGAATATCTTGTAAAATAGCTTAGAAGTGACTTATTTGAAATTTTAAGTCTTACCTCCTACAAGTGAATATCTCAGCCGTTCCTGTGGAGAATCTTTCTTTGAACAGTTGGGCTGAATAAAAGGAGTTCTAAGAATGGAGTAGATCTGGGTTTCCAAATGTGGCGGATTGTACACAGGAGGTCCATCATTTATATTTTATAATACAAGAAAATTATGTTTTAGCTTATGTCTTCAAAATCTTGGCATATCTAATAGTTATTTGCTTGTTTTTATTACTCATTATTTTTACCTTTATAATATCACTCAAGCATGCTTTTACAATCCATCTTAGTTATTTTATGTTTGAAGAGCATATTTTGGCATTTCATCACAGAAACGTTTGGGGTTTTCCAACAGTACAGTCTACCTTCTATTTTTAATTTTATAATGAGGATTTTTTTTAAGTACACTTCACTCCCAACATGGAGCTTGAATTCATGATCTTGAGATCAAGAGTCATGTGCTCTGCCGACTGAGCCAGCCAGATGCCCCATGAATGAGGAATTAATTTTTAATAATGTCTGTTTCCTATGTAATTTTGCTAAGATAGGTACAGATGACATTCATGAGATCACTGAATTTTAAAATTAGGTCATAAACTAAATGTTATCTACCCTAATTGTTTCCCTTTAATCCAGAAGTTATATGTCATCAAGTCTCTGAAACAGTTCATCAAAAAGGGTACTCACTACTTAAAAGAAAGTGTATTTCACTATTGGACAGCTTTACTTGTTAGAAATATTCATTTTTATTGACTCAAATATTTTTTGCCTGAAGATTTAACCTATTCTTCCTAGTTTTTGTTCTGAAGGAACTCAAAATCTAATAAGGCATGTGATTTACATTTCAAACATGTGAGACATTCCAGCAATTAGATTGAAAGGGGAACTATATTATTTCTGAGAATGTTTGAATTCTTAGGTTCTTTGACTCTATAATCTAGAATAGAAAGTTTCTGATAGACTACCTCCTCTTCTTGCCTGTAACCTCCCTCCTCTTCTTGCCTGTAACATTGTTATATTATCCCCTCTCTTGAAAAATATAAACATAGTATGAGACATTTTCCAAGTAGCCATCAATGAAGATACCAGCAAATTGTCAGAATGGAATGTGAAATGAAACTGATTTATGTCCTCAGTTCAGGGAAATGAAGTGCCTAATTGCATTTATGCCTTCCTTCCTTTCTTTAGTAACATTTCCTGAACATTCTTGGGTTTCTTCAGTTTGAACAGTCAATTCCTTAGAAGTCACCTGAGAGTGTGGAACAAATTCTATTGTCTTTTTTTTTTTTTCTCACCAACATAATGCAGCTTGGTTTGTTGGATTGCCCAGTGGAGACCATAAAAGGGCACTTACTAATATTTAAGCCCCATTTCACTAAGTATTGGTTTCTTTAAAATTCAAGCCTTGATAACCATATTTACCTGAAAATGAATTATACTTAGCTTCCCTTTCTCCTTCCAAATACAATAAAAAGTAGGGAAAGATAGTATCTGTTCTTTCACATTTTCTCATAATTGCTTTAATATAGTAAATAATAATAACTATTATAACAATATTCATTATATATTATATATAATAATATATATTATTATATGAATTATATATAATGTATATTAATAATATTCAATAATATTTATGGATGCATAATATACGCTAGACTCTAATGTATCTACACTAATATATAGTTACCAGTGCCATGAAAAATGTAGTATTATTATCCTAAAATGGAAAGTGAAGAGATAAAATAGCTCAACAGCTAAATAAAGTGTATGGAAACCAGAATTCAAAAATTAGTTCCAGAATGCAAACTTTTAACCTGTGTACAATAGTGTCTCTTTATTTAATACTGCTTTCTACTTAATCATAATCAGTGTTTACACTATTACAACACTAGTCTACTGTGTTATGTGTTCTCATAAAAAGTTCCTTCTACTCCTTAAGATATTCTGAATGGTATTACTTCATTGAAAGAGGACTTTTCTTCATCTTTTAAATGATGGTTCAGTTTATATGCTCTCTTAAAGCATTTCCAGTTCTATGAAACTATGGTTTGTGTGTTTCATATTTTTCATACTGCATGTCTGATATTTGAGCTGAGATTTTAACAAAATAGAGTTTCCTTGTTAATCAGACATTTTTTAAATTAACCAAATATATTTTAAGTTTTATAAACTAAAATGCTAGTTGTAAAACAATATATATTAAATGCAAATATAGGTTGCTGTGTTACTCTGTGAAAGAGAATATAGTATATACGTAATTGTAAACATACTCTATATGACAAAATATAGCAATACATACTAAACATACACCCACACATGCACACACACAGTCACATATGCATGTCTATTCCCAGTGGCTCAGATCCTGTTACTGCAGAATAGCCAAGATGATTTAGAAACTTAAAACTGGATGTTAGCACAGTTCTTTACCCCTACATCTTTGCACAATATTGAATCTTCAGAGAAAATTCCTGTTCTACCACTTATTTTTTTTATTGGACTCATTAATTCATTTGCTGTTTTCCTGTATTCTCAAGTTACTCATTTGTGAAATAAAACAGATATACTATACTACTAATACTATTGATTTGAATATGCAGTAGCACTTTCTTAAAGATTAAGTAAGAAAATGTTTTACTTAACTTTAAAGTGAATCACAGTAAAGTGGAGTAAATTATATTTAGGACTTCATGGCTTTATTTTGAATGTTGTAGTATACTACCATCATTATAGGGGTAGTGTGAATTAATGAAGAGACAACCAGAATTGTTGAAGAACTTTGGGGGAAAAAAACACTCTATGGTTATCTGGACAAGATCAAATATAAGGACATGAGTTAATTAGGTAAGTTGAAATTATTTATATATTTTTTGTAATGTTTGTTACCTTTAAAAATTAATCCATCTCACAACATTAATCAGGAATTAACAAACATAAAGACCGTAAAAGCATTACTGGAAAAGATCGAATGTAAGGACCAACACAGTCTCAGATGGAAGCTGTCTAAAGCTTTCAAAAAAATCTTTCCATGATAATTTGTGGCTATTATTTATGGGTAGCAGAATCCAAGTTCATCTCTTGACCTTATTTTCTAGACCTGTATTTTCCGACAGTCTTTGAATTCTCCATTATTATGTTTTTGAACTTGAGGAACATGTTGGAAGGAAAAATTTTTACTTTTCAAATATTGTTATGGCCAGGCTTTATGCTAGTTTTTAATATTGAGCACAAGGAGACTCTGCCAAGCTTGAATCATCAGCTCCTATTTCTGGGGTGTTGTTTCTATGGCTTGGCATTTAATATATTATGCCAATGTTCCTTGTCAGAATTAATTTTGGCAAAAAACCATCATTATACTGACTAACTGAATCTCCAGTTACAGAATAATGTAGCACATTCGCTTTTCTAAATGTTCCCAATTAAAATATTAAAAGTATAACTATTGAATTATGGAAGTTTCCTCAATAAAAAGTCTACAAGAGAGAGAAAAACTAAGTTTTAGTTGTTTGTACATTTCAAAAACAGATTATTAAACTTTTAGAATGCAGGAATTTCTTTTATCTAAGAAAAATGGGTAGGTAATGTTGCACCTTTCTCTTACTTTCAACCCATAAATAAAGCAAGGTAATATGATTCATAACATTATTGCTCATACTCTAGAAGCTTACAATATATATTTATTAACTAAATCTCAATAACTAAAAATAAACAGACAGTTTATCTGGGAAGTTCTTTCAAAACTATTACCAATTAAAGACAAATAAGTTAAGGGGCACCTGGGTGGCTCAGTCAGTTAAGCAGCTCAGAGCCTGGAGCCTGGTTCGGATTCTGTGTGTCCCTCCCTCTCGGCCCCTCCTCTGTCTCTGTCTCTGTCTCTGTCTCCCTCTTTCTTTCTCTGTCTCTCTCCCTCAAAAATAAATAAACATTAAAAAAATGTCCATCAACTGATGAATGGATAAAAAAATTATGGTTTATATACACAATGGAGTACTACGTGGCAATGAGAAAGAATGAAATATGACCCTTTGTAGAAACATGGATGGAACTGGAGAGTGTGATGCTAAGTGAAATAAGCCATACAGAGAAAGACAGATACCATATGGTTTCACTCTTATGTGGATCCTGAGAAACTTAACAGAAACCCATGGGGGAGGGGAAGGGAAAAAAAAAAAAGAGGTTAGAGTGGGAGAGAGCCAAAGCATAAGAGACTCTTAAAAACAGAACAAACTGAGGGTTGATGGGGGGTGGGAGGGAGGGGAGGGTGGGTGATGGGCATTGAAGAGGGCACCTTTTGGGATGAGCACTGGGTGTTGTATGGAAACCAATTTGACAATAAATTTCATTAAAAAAAATTAAAAAATGTGATGACAAGATTCTTTTTAAGAAATAAAGTAGGCTGGAAAGCTTCACGTGTAAGGAAAACTGCTTGGAAACTGGGAGCAGTGAGGGTACCAGTGATTGAGGTGGGGAACAAATGCAAAAGAAAAAAAGAAATAAACTTCATGACAACTTAATAGCCCTTTGACCAGTACTTGAGATAGGTAGAGTGACCTTCCTCAAGGAGCTTGGCTGTCTTGAGGCTAATAGTTTGCTAGAGGCAAAAGGCAACCTTAGTTTGACATTAGCCTGACCTCCAGGATGCTATAAAAAAAAATCTCTTTGGAAACTTTCTTTGTCTCTACCCAACCCACAAGATATATGATAGCGCTTATCGTCCAAGCATATGGCCACTGATCTACATGTGAAGCGTCTCATAACTAAGGTTTTACTAGACAGTAGTAAGTGACCTTTTCCTAACAACCACTAGCACTGCAGGGTCCTAGAAACCTTGCTTCCAAATTCCTTAGAGACTTATGCTATCCCTAACTACCTCCCCACTTGAAAGGACACAATGAGCGACTCCTTACAACCCCAATGCAGCTCTTCCTGCCCACAGGTCCTGACCCCACTTTAATAAAACCATCCTTTTAGCACTGAAGACACCTGAAGAATTCTTTCTTGACTGTTCACTCCCAAACCTCAACATTTCACATCAGTGACAATGAGATCTCTGTGGCTGCTCAGAACCCCCTTCATATGTGGCCTGCTCTGGGCTTTTTGTGCTCTGGGTACCAGGGCTGAGGAGCCAGGGGCAAACTTCTCCCATCCCAACAGCATGGGCCTGGATAAGAACACAGTGCATGACCAAGAGCATATCATGGAGTATCTAGAAGGTTTCATCAACAAACCAGAGGTAGAGATGTTCCCACAGGCACTGCAGCTCCATTATGTCAAACTGCATGATTATGACAGCAATATTTTGCTTGACAGCCTAGAACTTTCCACAGTCATTGAGGGCATCCATAAGGAGGAAAAGGAACAGGCACCACCAATGAATGAAGCTGAACTGATTAACTTAATAGATGGTGTTTTGAGAGAGGATGACAAGAACAATGATGAATGTACTGACTGTGCTGAATTTGCCAAATCACTGAAATAGACCTTGCTTGGCCATCTAGTTATATGCAAATGTGACCCATTATAATGCGGCTGAACACTTTTGGTCATGCGAAATAACACATTTCCAACCACTGCTAACTGCATTTTGGTAAAAACCTGTAGCAGTTTGCTACGCTGGGTTAAGAAACAGAAATCAAGAGAAACAGAAGAGAAATGGGACATATTATACTCCCCAAGTACTGTTAAATCTCTTATTGGACAAGTGCTTGATTAAAACATCCTTTTAAAAATGTTGGATAATTGGAGTGGAGTACTCAGGAACTTGACTGTGGAATACTGCTGGTCTCTTGGTTTTCATTCATGCTACCTGAAAAGTAAGACAAGCTTTGTCAAGTGGACACATTTTCACTAACAGTAAAGAAATGGCACGAATGCCAAATGTTTCCCTTGGAGTGTCCTACATCTTCAGATACATGTGGCCAGTATTCTGGAAAGTTCCCCTGTCCTGAACAATGATTTGCCCTGGGCAAGTGAGTATTAGACTATTTCAAAGCAACAGCATAAGGAGAATGACAGATAGTAAGTACGTTCAGCTAGCCATAGAGTCTAAGATTCTTTATTTTCTGGCACTTTGGAAATGATACACCACTGACCTATTATTTTAGTTTTTAAGTATTTACTAAAACTACTGTCACATCCGTATACTTTATTTTGTGTCTTCCTATACTTAGGAGAGACCTTAAATTAAAAAAAAAAAAATTTATTCTAACCATTAGCAAACGTTTTAGCTTTCTTAATATTTGTATTTACCTTTTATTTCTAGGGTTTGTTTTTGTGGTTTAGAAACTATTAGTAATGCAAGGACTGTATCCTTCCTGCTCAATGCAGAGGGGGTAAAGCTACTAGCTGGCCTTACTAAAGTGAGGAGGAAAGGGTCACCAAGCCCAGTGAGTAACCTGCTGCAAGGTGTATTTAGAAGGAATGGCGTTTTCATTATCTCTTCTAGTTTAAATACGTGAATTCTTTCAGATCAGGAAAGATTAGAAAAAAAGCCTAAAAACTCTTAACAGTGCAAATCTCAGTAATGGTTGAAAATTAGAAGCATTTGTAATTTGGTTTATTGGTTATAGTAGACATACTATAATAAAAAATCTGAAATGATGATTGAATGGGGAAGAAAAACTGCATAGAATTTTCTCTAAGACATATAGAGACGTTAAAATATTCTTATAAGAAAACATGTATTTATAAAAATGGCTTCCTGTGTCAAGAATTTTTGCTCTCAGAGCTGCATTGTAAAGTATTCTTGTAATACCTAGTTACTTTGAAAGATTTATACAATGAATCTTCGATATAGGACCAATAAAACTGATAAAACTGATAAACTAAAGAACAAGGCAAAGTCATTTTCAATTTCTCTCTTGTTAGTGTGGAAAACAAAGCTATATATATTTTTTTATTTTTCATTTAGGAAATTATTATTTTCAATATAGAAATTGTAATTCTTTTTTTTTTATTTTTTTTAATGTTTATTCATTTTTGAGAGATGGAGAAAGACAGAGCATGAGTGGGGGATACGCAGAGAGAGAGGGAGACCCAGAAACTGAAGCAGACTCCGGGCTCCAAGCTGTCAGCACAGATCCCGATGCGGGGCTCAAACCCACGAACCATGAGATCATGACCTAGGCCGAAGTCAGATGCTTAACCGACTGAGGTACACACATGCCCCTAGAAATTGTAATTCTTAATGATATTTATAATTTTCATTTTACATTCTGGAGATAGAATAGATCTTAATATAGTCTTAATATGCCTTAATATAAATCATAGTTAAATGAAAAATCTCAAATGGAAACTTAACTAAGTTAAGTAAGTTTTCTAATAGCAACATGCTATACTAACATGGGTACAGTACACTGATTCTAATTATCTAGAATAGTAATATAATATAAAGAAATTAAGAACTTACTCTGCAAGAGGAAATTAATGTCTTTAGACAGGACATTCTCTTACATAAATGTTTAGAGAAGATATAAGTCTTTAATATCTAATTTAAAATGGTAGCCAATATTTGTGGAGTTCATGGAGAGAAAAACAGATTTATATATTGTGCAAAATGTTTTAAAAATCTTGCTTCTCATAGATTGATGAAATAAACAATAATAATATTCAAGAAATGCAAAAACCTTTTAGATATACATTCTACAAATTATATCACATGCAAGACAATGACAAGTTCTTCAAGTTTTCATTTTACTCGCTATATACTTACACACCAAATATATTTGGAAAGAAAGGAGACTCCAGAAACCAGCTAGGGTATAGTGGTGTACAATACATCAAACCAACTAATTTCCAAGCTCTTAAACTGGAAAATAATATTGCGATTTTGTTGTTATTTATTTGTTTAATGTAGTATGCTTTCCGTCAAATCAAAAATTCAAATTTAAATATAATTGCTGTATTAGTTTGTATGTAATTGTAATAATAATAATATAAGATTACCCATTAAATCACATTTTTATACTTTAAAAATATTGTTCTAAAAATTGTGTAAAAACAGTGGCATCTGTGTGGCTCAGTTGGTTGAGTGTCCGACTTACGCCCAGGTCATGATCTCTCGGTTGTGAGTTCAAGCCCTGTGTCAGGCTCTGTGCTGACAGCTCTGAACCTGGAGCCTGCTTTGGATTCTCTCTCTCTCTCTCTCTCTCTCTCTCTCTCTCTCTCTCTCTGTCTCTTCTCTCTCTCTCTCTCTCTCTCTCTCTCTCTCTCTCTGCCCCTTCCCTGCTCATGCTTTTCTTTCTCTCTCTCTCTCTCTCTCTCTCTCTCTCAAAATAAATAAAAATTGTGTAAAAACATAATATATGGCATAAGTTCCTAATACCAAGATACTAGCATTCTATCTGTGAAATAAAATGTTTTGATATTTACCCACCGAAAAAAAAATATGCTAAATTATGAGTGACTAGACTTTCAGAAGGCAGGCAGGTGGTATTTAGAAAATAATTCTTGTAAGTAGGGAAGGAATATTGTACATAAATTAATCACAAACTAGAAAAAAACAGTGATTTTTTTTCTTTTTTGGCTTTGTGAATTGTCAAGTTAGTAATCCTCTTTATGATTGTGATTTGGCAATTTTATTAAAATAAATTTATGTTCAGTTTTTGGTTAATGCAGGATCCAAATTAATCATAGAATTTGAATGTGAGAATTAAGTTAACTTAAGCAATTAAGTAAAAATCTTCAACTGTTTATTCTGGGATTAACTGAAAAATCTTAAAAATTAAAAATGCCCAACTTTCATCTCCAGAGATTCTGATTTTATAGGTCTGTGATGAGTTTCACGAATCTCTATTTTTGAACAAGCTACTCATAGGATCGTAATGTGCACTATCTATAAAATCGTGGATTCAATGCACTATTAAATAAATCCTAGAAGATATGGCTGAGGATTTGATGCAAAATTCTAAGTCATTGCGTAGGGCTGTAGATTGAAAACACATTACAGATTCCTAAGGTTTTTCACTTCCTCAATTATATTTTAGGTATAAGACTTTCTTCTATTTATCATTTATATGCAATTTGTATAAAGTGAGTGTTTTATGGGTTCATTTTCTTCTATTGCTATTATAATTAATGATATAACACATTATGTGGATATAAGTCAAGACTGAATGTTGCATCTAAAAAAATCAAGAGTAACTCTCTTAGCAGTACTACTATTCATAAACATCTTTCATTTAGGATAAATGAAGATTTTTGGCATTCTAAAGTGAACAATTTATTCTCATAAATGTATGCACTTAAATTCAGCTTCTAATTCTTACAAAGTTTAATACAGCCTATATTTTTTTTGTCTATGTGGTAAAGTTATTAGGTAGCTATGGAAAAGAATCATCTGGAACACACATTGAAATATCTTTTCAAGTTAAATATCGATGTATTTTTCAGTGACCTTTCAAAATTTCAAAGGGAAATTTAGAGAAAAAAATGGTGATGCTCACCCAGTTAAAGTTGGGGATAGGTGTGAATTAGTCTTAAAAATTTGTAATCAAAGTGCTTAATTTTTATCCTAAAATGTTTCTCAATGCCTTGACTGGGTACACCAGTAATTCCCCAGCCAGTGAGTTGTTGCAGAATCACCAGCATTTCAATTGATTTTAAGTAGTCAAAAAGTCTGTTTGAGAATTTTACTTTGTGCCATAACCAAACCAGTTGCTGTGACAGTCTGTGCTGCAAAAACTAAATTGATTTTATATAAAATAGGATGATTAATGCATTCATGGTATCTACATAATATTTTATGATAAAGAGAGAGAAAAAGAGAAATGGGAATTCAAATTTATAAGTAAATGCTAAAGCTGACCAATGACCATATCAACATGAGGTCCTGAAACCCAGACTCAAAACTAGGAGAGGTGAAACTAAGATATTGTAAGCCAGGCTGCATGAAGAAGATTATAGTAGTTTTTAATGGATAGTGAATCCCTCTCAAAGCAGAAAAAGTAAATCTCTTTGGAAAAAAGCATCCTTAGTTTTCACTCCAATGTTCCCTCAGAGTGAGATCATTCACATCTGAGTGAAAAACAAAGATCACATAGGAAAAAAAGGCCCAATGAATGAGCATTTGTTGATACAACCAACAAGAGGGCATTTCCAGTGGCCGCTTATTGTTCGCAGAGATTCTGATCCATTCTTAGTGGTGTTGGGCTTTTCTGATGTAGTCAGATATACCCATTCCATCCTGTGGCAGAATGAGCCTACCTGAGCTGCCTTATGTTGTTAGGTTGGGGGTTGAGAAATGAGGGATCTGGGTCAATTTCTTCTCTTGAGTAGGGAAACATAAGATAAGTTGCCAGTTTCTCAAATCCTGGGATTCCAAACAAGTCCATAATCTTCTTAGAATCTTTGAGAGCTCTCCTTTGGTTGCCTTTTGTGTTATTTCGTGGGTGTACAGTTGTGTTTAGAAGAGAAGGGCAGGAAGAAAGGGGACTATACCAATTTGACTGGAATTTTTGAAAATTAAGAAATTAAAAAATT